GGGGACGTATTAAAACTGATCATGATGATATATGTACCACTCGATTTTAAAGCAATTTAACTGTGGAAGATTATGATATGTGAATATTACATCAAGAAAACTACTAAAAAGAAAAAACAAATGAAGAAAGAACCCAAACTTAACGTATGCTGACCCTGGGAGAAGGAGGAAGAGTATTTGCTTATGAATCTTTGGGCTGATGTTACGGTGGTGGAATCATTTGGAAAAGGACATCAACAATGGTTGGACAACACAAAGAGTCCAGTCAATGGCCCTGAATTATACATGGAGAAGTTGTTGAATTGGAGAAGTTTGGTTGTGTGTATTTTTGCCACAATTAAATAATGAATAACAATGAGTACAAGGAAGAAGAAAATGTTCTAAAGTTTATTGTGGTAATGATTGTATGACTCTTCTTGATATGATTGAACCATTTAATTGCTTGAAATGTGGATGAAGTGTCAATAAAACTGTGAAGAAACAAAGCAAGCAAACAAGCAAGCACACATCCTTGGGGTGTGGTTTTGTATCTGTGAGGTCTGCTGCTGAGTGCCTTGCTATCGCAACAAATGCCTGACAGGCACATCAGAATTGAGAAGCAGACCATCCTTCTGCCTTCTCCTAAACGTGCTTTCTAAAGTTTGACAGCATTTATTTCAGAACTATGATATAAATAACCTCTCTGTATCGGTGCTTGGGTTTTCAAGATGTAATTTTGATTTGAGGACTGCTTAGAGGTATTTTCTAGCCCCAGATCATTTAAGACTAGGTCCTCCTGGAGGTGAGTAAGTATTTGAAAGAAGCAAACTGGGTACTTCTCAGGCATGTGGGATTCACAGCATCTGCTCTGGACAACCCCGGCTTATAGTGTGTCCTCATGGCTGTTTGCAAGATTGGTGGAAGAACTGAAATTTTATTTAGGAGCAGGTTTCCTCTGAGAATAGAAAGCCTACTTCTTTCTAGTATGTAATAGGATGAATTCATGATTTTTATGGAAACCAGGTGATTTTCTGTCTGGTGGGCTTGTCTCTCAAGTCAGTTACAGTTCAGAGTTTTTGATGTTCACACTACTTGCCAGAGGCCCTCAAGAAGATGGAAACAGATTAAGTACAAAGTTCTGTGCCTTGTCACAATTTGAATATTAAGTAATTTAACCCTTTTATATTGGCCCCTGGCTTGTGGTTTCAGTCTCTTGAATTAAAAACAGATTAAATTAGGTTTTAAAAATGAAAATGTTTTGTACCATAATTAGTAAACTTTTAAAATCTAGGCATGACAATTTGGAGATTATTTTTGTTCCCAGAGGAGAAGTGATAGGTTACTTTGGTAACTGGATTATAGTATTAATCAATATAATTATTGCTCCTCAGGGTGAAAAGTTTGGACCATTTGCTGGAGAGAAGAAAATGCCTGAAGACTTGGATGAAAATATGGATTACAGGTTGATGTGGGAGGTGAGGGTATGACTGTTATTTAAATAACTTTGAAACTTTTCATGTTATTTAATGCATTTACAAGTGTAATTTTTTAAGGCTAAGCATATTGATTCTAGTCTACTGTCTAGGCATTGAAACAATTTCATTTTAGGCAAATGAATTAACTTTAAAGTTTAGCATTACAAAAAAAATGAGATAGTTGAAATAGGAGATAGTTGTTCTCGAGCTGTGAAGTTGCAATTCATCATTAAAAAAGGATGTTTTTGATTTTTAAAGGTGCTTAGATTTCAGAATCGGCATATCTTTTATTTGCAGTTTGATTTTTGGAAATGGAGTGATAGTTTCTCTTTAATGTTGATTTCCCAATTGCAATTTAAATTGCATAGCAACCATTTAGGAGCTCCTGGGGGCACAGTGGCTTAAGCTTGGGGGGCTGCCTGTGATGAGTTCAAGATCACCATCACTCTTAAGGTGAAAAGCTGGGCTGTCTGCTCTCATACAGATTCATAGTCATGGGAACTCTACGGAGCAGTTTCTACTTTGGGCCCTCAAGTCCATTAGAATCCACTCGATAACACTGGGCTTGAATTTTCTTTGTCTGTTGAAAGAAAAAATCGCACTTTAAAATGTAGCTAATCTTTAAAGAAATGCATGTTTGAAGAACTGCATCACTGTATACAGGCTATATTCAACTTATTGAATCCTCTGTGCATGCACCAGTTGATTTCAATGTAAATCATATCCTGTGAGAATTTTCACCCTAGTTCATTCCAATTACATTATTTTCTAGACATTAGCTACAAGAGGGCTGAACGATAGAAATCGGAAGATATAGATTATTGAAGTTAAAGACATGGAGGAAACAATTCTAGCCCCCCTGTTGTATTTTGACTGTGTGGGAGGATGGGTGCTGAGGTGTGTTGGTGAAGCTGAGAGATCTGCGGATCCTAAAGTCATAAAGGCTTGGAATACTAGAGAATTGCACATGCAAGGTGTCTGAATAGGTACTCGGTGTTGGTGATGCTCTTGGGCGCCATAGAGCTGGTGCGTACAAGGGAACTCAATACGACCTGCTCCTGGAGCATCCTCACTCTTGTCCTTGTGCGTGACCTTTGTGGCAGCCACTGTGTTGGTCCATCTCACTGAGGGCCTGCCTCTTTTTCACTGCCCCTCTGTATCTACATTACCAAGCGTGAGATCCTTTCTCTGCAAGGAATAAAATACACTTAGAAGTATCACTAGTGTTACTGAAAGTGCTGGCAAGGGTTGGGAAAGAGATTCTTAAAGGTTTCTCTAGAGAAAGTGATGGAAAATGATAATATAACCCTCAGTATAATTAAAGAAGTAGAGAAGGTTATTGAAACTGCTTTAAGTTAGCATATCTATTTATTTTTTTCTTTCTATGAGCCTCAAAATATTTTTAATGGCTTTCCCTGATTTTCCACAGGTCTTAATTTTCTCAGCAGTTAATTCTCTTACTGTGAACATTTTTAGAAATTAAATTTTTATGTGACAAAAATGGCTAATAATCTAAATAAATTGTAAATGATAAAAATAGCAATAATATAAAAGCTCTCAAATGGATTTTAGTATATATATTTTTAAGTTTTAAATACTTAATATAATGATCAGACTAATATTTTACATGGCTGGTGATAAAGGCTCATAATGACCCTAGGGGACAGGGAAGAACCTCTGGGTTTCTGAGACTGTAACTCTTTACAGGATTAGCAAGCCTCATCTTTCCCCCAAGGAGTGGCTGCTGGTTTCAAACTGCACATGTAGAGCTCACAGTCCAACTCATAACCACAGCACCACCAGGGATTCTATGAATCTGACAAGCCTTGATGGCGGTGATTGAGTTGGGTGAGAATGCAGTGGTTAGTGGAGAATGATTTTAATTTTGTAAGGAAAGGATTGCCTATAGGTAATTTGAGGAGGCTGTTTCTGTACAGTTATATCAATAATAGGTTATTTAGGGTTATTCAATCTACTCATGTGGTCCTTGAATACCTTTACGTGTTTAAATTTTGTTATTAGATATTAGTATCCCTGGTCCTTTCACTGTACTGCTCAAAGAGCTATTGATTTTATACAATCTTATATTCAGGTCATGTTATAGTCATCTAATGGTTGCTAGTCACTTTATTTTACTCTTTATTTTATGTCTGTGTTTTAAATAGATAATGCTTGTACTTTGAAGAGTGGCTGGGTGGTGCAAGCAGCATGCGTGCTCTTTTGCTGACTTAAAGGTTGGCGCTTTGAGTCAGTCCAGAGGTGCCTTTGAAGAAAGGCCTGGTAATTTACTGCTCCCAAATCCACCATGGAAAACTTGGTGGAGCACGGTTTTACTCTGATGCACATGGGGTTTCCATGAGTCAGAGCTGATCTGACAACAATTAACGGTACATTTTATACCGTTATTGCAATAGGTTCCATATAGGTATATATATGTTTAAGTTACATATATGTATATGCATATATATGCTTATAAAACTATTTGTGGATGTGGTTCTTTTTGATATATCAGATCATCATTTTGGCATTCAAGAACTTAAACAGCTTAGCAAACCTGCCAGTGGGCTGCTTTGCCCCCATCTTTCCCCCGTTTCAGGCATGTGGAGTATTTCCTTGCCCTTTCCCCCGAGTTAACACCAATCTACCTCAAGCCTAGGACTCTCATTTTCCTCCGTTTCCCTCCTGCCCCTGGCAACTAAAAAGTCTGGGGTTTTTTTTGGGTATGAAAACCTTCATCCTTTTTTTTCTCATAATGGTATGGAGGTCTCATACAACATTTGTCTTACCAAAGGATGTTGATGAAGATGTTCTCTGTCCTCCTCAAGCCCGCTCTTTACCAGACTCCTGTATTAACCCCTTTGTTTTGTATTCCCTAAACTTCCCCTCCTTCTTCTCTTCGGTTGGGCCCTCTTTTTGGCTTGCTGGCTGATGGCATGCCACCAGATAGGGGATGAGAGGGACACGCTCTAAGTGGTGTACCTTTTGAGGGAAACCTTAAAAACAGGACCAACACCTCTTCAAGTGCGCAGACTTAGTCCTTGCTATCGGGGTGCTTCTCCTTTTTATGCCACATGTGTGAGCTGCTCCCCCACTATGGCTTGCACTATTAAAATTCTCTCATTATGTCAGCATGGAGGTGCTGGACTTCCTAAGGAGCCCAGGGAAATGCGAGTCACTGATCTGATAATTGTATAGTCTTCCTCTCAAGGAACCATCGTGTTCTCTCACAAGGAGAAATTGAGCCTCCTCTTCTCTGTTGGGTACATTGGGACAGGTTATGTAAGTCCTTAGTAATGTGCCCCACAGCTGTATCTGTGAATTCTGTGATAACCATCACCAGTATCTCCAAATGTGTATCTCTATTCGCAAGACATTACTTACCCAGGTGACGGTTAAGGACGGTGGCTCAGATACTGGTGATAGGATCGAGAAAATGGTATCAGGGGCTCATTTGGCATAGCTCTTTGTCCACTTGGTGTGGTAGTTACGAGTTCAGTTGCCAACCACACGGTCAGCTATTGGAAACCACCAGCTGCCCCGCAGGAGAAGGATGAGGCTTCCTAGCCCTGTCAATAGTTCCAACCAGAAACCCCCCAGGGGCAGTGCTACCTGTCCTGTAGGGGCTCCATGGGTCAGAGTTGGCTCGATGACAGTGAGAAAGCATCTACCTTTGCTTGTGGTGCCAATGTTCCAGTGCATTCTCCTCAACAAACCACGAGCTCATGGACTAAGAGCTCCTGGATGGCCATTTCACAGCAAGAAACGTGGACGCGTCCGTCAGGCTTGAGTTTCCTGGTGTGTGTGAGCCTGTCAACTTGGAACACGTCACAGTCCCCGGTGGAATCCGAGGGAGCACTGCCCTGGTTTCTTGTGACGTTCTTGTCGGTTTCCTAGACCTTCTATAAGAAGGCACTCCAACGTAGTGAATTTTTTATTGTGTCTCAGTTCTCTGGAAGTTAGAAGTTTAGCTTCCGTGTGTCTTTGGGCCAAGCTTCTCCGAAGGCCGCAGGGGAGACCCTTTTGTGTCTCATGTAGCTTCTTGTACTGCTCGGCTGGTAGCTCCAGCAGCATTCCATTTCGTCTCCCTGTTCACATGGCCACCTGCCCTTTGTGTGTCGGCGTGACTTTTCGTGTTTACAAGGACCCCAGCTGTGCTAGAAGAGGGCCCACTGTATTTCAGTCCATCTGATATATGTTATATGATAACATCCTCAGATGAGGTCACTGCACAGACACCTAGATTTAGGACTTCACCTTTTCTAGGAAAGACACAGTCAAAATCATTCTTCATGCTTCCCCCCCCAAATTAGAATCTGGAATTTACTAATGCCGACTGCTTCAGTGCATGTACCAGCCCGTTGTTCTTTCTGAATTAGCCACCAGGATTTGGGGTTGAGCCCTGAAGGAACTAAGTCCTATCTGTCCCTCAAGCTTCTTAATAACCTAAGCTTTCTACTTTTATTTTGAAATTAGGGGTATTAACAGAAGAACTCTAGACTTTGCAGACCATAGAACAAGTATAACGCTTGGGACTGGAAGCTAGTGCTTAATTGCAAATTCCTCCCCCTGATGGTTGGATGTGATGGCCCCATTACTGTGTTCTCTTCAGTTAACTAGGTGGCTTTTTGCCTGCCTTTTGCCCCGCTGTTTGGAACTTGAGTTACATTTTCCTCCACTTTCTACCTGCTGTAAGTCACTTCATGTACTTCTGATAAAACTTTCAGTGATTTTCTGTTTTTAAATCCCTCTACTCAAGAACACTTTGCTCTAATAATTCTACATTCTGTGATTCTCACCTACCCTG